ACGGGCGGGAGCGACTTTAGGTAGCAACCGCGGTGCATCGCGTTTATGAATTTATTACGATACGGAACAGTAAAAAAACAATGAACTTTCCTTCATACTTTTCAGGCTTAGGACTGTCTATAATTAATTAAGTGTTATGATGAAATAAAGTATATTAGTATTTAATTAAAGCAATTATAGGCGTACTTAAAAGTTCATTGATTGTATTTACAAAAATCAAGTATATACATATATGTACATATTTTAAACTTGTTTACTCGTTTTCACTCGTTAACACTCGTTTTAAACGACAACTCTCGACGACAGTAATTACATGTAGCAGTTTTACGGCCATCAATGGGCTTTTCAAAGAAGTTCCATATTGGCAAATCACTGTTCCTTCTAGACATTTTCGTCTGTTATTATACCTACACTCAAAACAACAACACGATATCTCACTCTGTCCTTACTTGCACAATTATAGCTAACAAATATTAAGGTGTCCTATCATTGTTTATTTAAACTACAAAGCACGAAGTAAAATAATAGTTACGTATATTATATTACGTGAGCCGCCCGAGATCGCGGATTAGCAAAATCGCAAGCGGTGCGTAAAACGATTACTTACTCACTTACGCGACCGAAAGCAATCTCTAGCATGCGACGACTGGCCGCCGCGATGCTATTGCTTTCTTTCATGCTTTGCGATTTTGTGATGCGCGACTGACAGAGACAGAGAGTGCGATGTAAAAAAGCATTAAGCAAATAGCACGAAGTGAGAGCCACGATAGCATTTGCTATTTGTTATGTATGAAAAGCACGGTGCTTTATTTTGCTATATGATATATTAACCACCACTATATACGACATTGACGATAGTTTGTGTTTGTGCAGTGTTTGTGGATTTGGATTGTGGCATTGACGTTTGTCACGTTGCTGCTTTTATGTATTTATTTGTAATTTTAAAATTGAATCTGCAAAAATTCGCAATGTTCGAAAACAATTACTATCCGAGGCAGCTATAGATTAGCACCAACTGTTTTTGTGTGTGGATTTCTCACGAGGTTAGTATTTTATCTTACGGAATGCGCAAAGCTTAAGGCAGAACTGTGCAAAACCTACAGCAGATTTAAAAGTTCTAAATTTTTATGAGGAATATAATCTCTTATTTGTCACATTCGAAGGTCCAGTCTAAAAAAAATACATTGTGGAAACGAAAATTAAACATGTTCGTTTTTGATGTATTATTTATTTTTTTACCTTTTCTTATTATGAGATCTATACATGTTTTAAAATCTGTTTGTAAAAATACTAATAAATATAGTACCTTCATAATATTACAATTGAATTATGATAGTACATATTATTTATGACTATAATGCATATTACTAACAAATTCATACCTACAGTTATAATAAATCTAATATATGATTATAAAACAATGAATAATTAAAAGAAATAAATATGTATGTAGTGAAATCTTTATAATATTTTAAAATTGTAGACATAGCATTGACTGTAGGAATAGACTGTGGTTGTATACTTTATTACTTTTTGATAGCAAACAAAGAATACAATATGGTAGCAAACCAGCAAAATTAAAAAGTGTAAACTTCTTTGTTTAACAATTGATAAAGTAGGACAGAATGAGATTGAAATAAAAGTGAATATTATATAAACTATATGTGTGGTAAAATTTAAAAAAGTTTGTATTTGAAATTGTAGTAAGTTCAATTAAAGTTTATCTGCTAAAAAGTAGGTAAGTATGTCAATGAATCAAAATAAAAATCATGAGAGAAAAATAATACAAGAGTTTGTATTTCCTCCAAAATGTTTAATTACTTACAACAAATGACAAACACAGGTCTCATAACCTTATTAGTGTGTTTATAAAATTACCTACCTATTAAAGTTAAGCTAAATTAAATAAATAATAGAATCACAAAATATTTACAAAAGTACCTAGTTGTGTATGAAATTATCTGGAATCAATCAAATATCAATCGGAAAACAATGTCAAAAAAGAATATTTGTATTTTTTTCCTAGTTCGGCATGTTATTATTTATAATAAGGATAAAATATATAATAAAGAAAAAAGTAAATAAAGTGTAATAATTAGTTTTTCAGTCCACTCTTATAATATAAAATTCAATTATAAATATTATATTAAATATATAATATTATATTATAATTCATATTCCTCTTTTGGATTTCTATATCTTTGTAATAAAAATATTTCGTATTTTCATTGATTGATATTTTTATTTTAAAACTAGGTTTCTGCATCACACGTGGTATAGCCATGCTGCAGCTATATTAGTAGTATAGTTGTAGCACGAATGGGTCGGCTCAACTGGGGAAGGACCACGCTCTCACAAAATACCAGCGTAAAATAGCAGCTTAACACTGCTGTGTTTTGTATGGTGAGTGTAGAGAACTGGAGACCCTTTTTACTGGAAAAGAGGCATTTCATCTTTGTCCTCACAGGTGACAACACATCTACATTTTGATTCGCAAACGATGATAGATGTAAATGTCTATGGTCAACAGCAACCACTTACCATCAGGTGGACTGTTTGCTCGTTTGTCACCCTATCCTATAAAAAAATCACTCTTTCGCTGGGGGATTCACCTTCAGCTAATCTCTCTCTCCTACCCTTCATCCTATAAAATCAATTGTAGGTTATGTACATTCTTTCAGAATTTATATCTTTTAACTTTTTTATTTTTACTGATTTTTCATTAACTTTTTTCAGGTGGACAGTTTAAAATAAATCAGTATGCCTTGCAGGCTGAAAGCTTGCAGACCTCTCGGTAGGTACAACAGAATATGGAAAGACAACAGAAATATGAATATGCAATTTATAGATATTGAAAACAACAGTTTAATCTCATATCTGTTATTGTTGAAAATGTGCTTGTGATTCATAACAAAATCATAAAGACATGTTATTGTCTCTGTCATATGTCCAGTTTGAACATCTTATTTCTCCACTATTTATCAGTGTGTACTAACATAGATAAACATGTTATTACCTAGTCATTGGCTTTAATGGTGTTGGGGGTGTGGGTAATAATCTGTTAACATATTTTAAAACAAAGTACACATACTGTGCCTGTCTGTTTAACATAAATGGTGTTTAGGATGTATACTAACCAATCAATCAATACATTATGTAAACAAAGTATCCACACTATTATGTTCAGAATATAGAATAAAACACCTTGGTTGAATATTGTTATCTATTAAGCTTGGTAGCATTACAAAAGACAAGTGTCATGAGTGAATATTAAATTACCTACATTCAATTTACTTTATTAATGAACAAAGTAAACAAGTACCCCCAAATAGAATAACAATAAATCTTTGAATATGACATACCTTCCCCATTAGTAAGTAACCTAAACAATATAATTATTTAAACAAGATACATAACACTTGAAATCAATCAGTGTAACATAAGATATTAATACACATATACAAGCTTAAGATAAATAAAGATTTTCTCTATTAGCGTTTGATCTTTCATATGGTGTTTTAGAATGTAAACTTGACTTATGTTTTAACTTTCTACTTGTTGGAAGTGTTGTCTCTGCTGTGGGTGGTATTCCTAACATCTCTGCCCATTTATTAGAGTCTGGAATCTCAATTATTATATCAGTGTCTTGACTACTTTCTTGATTTTCTTCATTGTTGACACTATCTGAACTCTCAGGACATACACCCTCTACTGATTCAGCGGTTCTAATCATTCTTTGTCCCTCCTGCATTTCAGAATCCTCACAACTAATATTAGGCCCTTTTTTAACTAACTGATCAATATGTCTATTGATTATTATACCATTATTGGTTCTGATCTCATAACTTGATGGCCCTTTTTTGTTAATAACTTTTCCTGGCAGCCATCTTGGGCCAGCACTGCTATAATTGCGGCACATAATCTCCTGACCTACATTAGTTTCCCTGTTTTTCCTCTGACTGTTATTGATAATTTGTTTTTCGATTTTCTCAGTTTTTGCTGAATCTGGATGTATAGTATCTAAAAGTGTACGTAAACATCTCTTCATTAGTAGTTCAGATGGGCTCTTATTGGTTGCGGTGCATGGTGTAACTCTAAGACCAAGCAACAAATTTGGTATTTTAGTGTCCCATGCTAGATCCTCCATTTTGCACAGTTTGTCCTTAATTGTCTGTACCATTCTCTCTGCCAACCCGTTTGTAGATGGGTGGTATGGTGCTGTAGTTACATGACGTATGTTATTAGCTTTTAGGAATTCATTCATTTCTTTTGAGACAAATGATGGTCCATTATCAGAAACCATCACTTCACATAAGCCATGTGTTGCAAATGTTGTTCTCAAAAGTCTTATAACTGTCGATGAGGTAGTGTTATTTACCATAAATAATTCTGGCCAGCGTGAGTATGCATCCACTATGATTAAAAAATATTTTTTATAATATGGTCCAGCAAAATCAATATGAATCCTTGACCATGGTTTTGTGGGTGTAATCCATACATGACTGGATTTTTGAGGCATATGGCGATTCTCTAAACATTTCGGACAGCCTCTTACCAGTGTCTCTATATCCTCATTAAGATTTGGCCACCACACATAGCTCCTTGCAAGTGCTTTTGTTTGCACTATCCCTGTGTGTGTTTTATGCAACATTTCTAAAGTTTTACGGCGCATTAATTTTGGTACTAATACACGGCAGCCCAATAATATACAGTCCTCTTGTAGTGATAACTCTGCACGATGCAGCCAAAATGGGCGTAAATCTGCGTCTGTTATTCTAGCAGGCCAACCACGTTGAACATAATAAATAACCTGAGATAAAGTTTTATCGCGTTTCGTTTCTATAGCTATGTCTTTAGCATTAAATGGAAAATCCTCCGGAGTCTCAGCCATCAACAAAACTTCAGACAACTGTTGTTCTGGTTGTTCGTTGACTGGATGTGGCCATCGACTTAGACTGTCTGCATTACCTATTTGTGATCCCGGTTTATTTTCTCATACATTATATTATCTCATAATCATGAGACATTAAAGCAATCGCAATCCTCGTCAATCGAGGAGACAACATATTTGACATTGGTTTTTTAGGGTTAAATATACCAAGCAATGGTTTGTGGTCCGTAATTATCCGAAAATTACGACCCATGAGGTAATTATGAAATTTTTTAATGCCAAACATAATTGATGTGGCTTCTTTATCTAACTGAGAATAACGTCGTTCATGTGCATGAAGGGTTCTCGATGCCATTGCTATTGGCCGTTCTTGGCCATCCTCCATTTCATGTGACAATACTGCTCCTACCCCATATTCCGAACTGTCACAGGTAAGAACTACTGGCTTATTTGCATCATAATGAACTAGAGTTAAATCAAATGCGAGTAAGCTTTTAGCCATGTCAAATGAACTTTGCTCACGCTCAGACCATGTCCATGTCTGTGAAGAGTCTAATAATCGATGCAATGGTTCAAATATTGTCGCTTTATGAGGTATGAACCTTTCATAAAAATTGTACAACCCGAGAAATGCTTGCAGTTCTCGTTTATTTTTGGGTGCTGGAGTATTTACTATAGATTCGACTTTACTTGGTGCAGGATGTATTCCCTCAGAATCGATAACATAGCCTAAAAATTCGACTTTTTCTTTAGCAAATTGACATTTCATTTTATTTAAGCGTAATCCTGCCCCTTCAATTCGATCTAATCTTTTTTGCATTTCTAACATAGTACGACCACATATGATTATGTCATCTATCAAAACTGCCACTCCTGGAATGCCAGCCAGTAAAGAAGTCATTAAGCGCTGGAAAATTCCTGGACTTGCTTTTACCCCAAAGGCCAACCTATGCACTGTATATAAACCCTTGCACGTGTTTAGTGTTAGAAGCTTTGACGTATTATCATCCACAACTACTTGTGTGTAAGCTCTATCTAGGTCTAAAGTTGTGAAAAATCTTCCTCCAGCTATGGTAGCGAAGACTTCATTTGTCGTGGGCATGGGATAAATATCCGACTCTGTTGCTTCATTAACTGTACTGCGGTAATCTCCACATAAACGAATCTCACCAGATTTTTTTATTATTGGCACAACTGGTGTGGCCCACTCCGAAAAAGTCGTTGGATGTAAAACTCCTTCCCTTTCTAGACGATCTATTTCCATCTCTACTCTTTGCTTTATAGCAAATGGTACAGGACGTGCTTTTACAAATTTTGGAATAACTCCTGGTTTAATGTGTATTGTTACTGGATGTCCACGGTATGTACCGAGTCCATCTTTGAATACCTCTTTATGTTTCAATAATACACTATCCATTTCCAATAACTCAGCACTGGAAACATAATTGACATTCATAGTAATGTTAAGAGGGTTCAGCCAGTCTCGACCCAGAAGGTTGGGCCCATTACCCTTCGCTACAATAACACATAGGTCCTTCGAAATATTCTTGTAACACACAGGCAACGTAATTTGCCCAAGAAGTTTGACCGGTGTTTCAGTCCAGGTCCGCAACGATATTGCAATAGGTTGTAACACAGCATCCGATAATTGAGAGTGTAGTATGTGCCATGTCTGCTCGTTAATTAGCGAAAAACTAGCTCCTGTATCAACTTGCATATGGATTGGTACGCCTGCAAGTGACAACTCAACTTCGTATGGTGGGACACGGCTATTAGTATGAACGCAATAAACTCCATTTAAATGATCATCTGCTTCTGATATAAACTTTATTTGCTGAGAAGAATTCCTCTTCTTACTTATGCAAATCTTCTCCAAATGTCCTTTTTTCTTGCAATACCGACACACTGTATTTACAAAACGACATTCTCCTGAATGGCGGTCACCGCAACGATAACAAAAGCGGACATTTGCTCTTGATTGAACAGCATTTATATCCATCGGTTCACTTGTACCACTCGCTGAACTGTATGGTAATGCTAGTTCTGACTGAGTCATAGCTCCTGTTGTGTTGCCTTGAATCATACGAACATCTCGCCCTGCACTTTCGGCTGATAACATCGCATCAACTACATCTTGATAACGCAAATTGTCTCGTTTCAATAACTCATATTGCAGTTTACTATCACACATACCGCATACCAGTCTATCCCGTAACATTCTTTCTAAATCAGTAAAGTTACACCCCGAACTTAGTTTTCGTAAATGAGCAATGTATTCTGAAGCACCTTCATCACGTTTTTGATTGCAATTATAAAATTTATAAGACACAGAAATTTCGTTAGGTTTTGGGCTTTAATGATTTGTTAAAATTGTTTCTATTTCACTGAATGTCACATCAACCGCTTTTTTTGGAGTAATTAATGCAAGTACTGTTTCGTAAACTCGTGAACCACACACTGTGAAAAAATTTGCTCTTTTAGCAGAATCTAATATGACGCCGTTAGCCTCGAAACAAAATTTTAAACGGTCTAGATAATTGTCCCAACTATCTGTTTGAGGATTGTACTCATCGAATTTCACTGATTTTATGTCCATTTTTAACACTTTTCACCACTCGTCGCCACTATTATGTTCAGAATATAGAATAAAACACCTTGGTTGAATATTGTTATCTATTAAGCTTGGTAGCATTACAAAAGACAAGTGTCATGAGTGAATATTAAATTACCTACATTCAATTTACTTTATTAATGAACAAAGTAAACAAGTACCCCCAAATAGAATAACAATAAATCTTTGAATATGACACACACCACACCTGATTGTTTGTGCTACTTTGAAGAAACGAAAATAATAATGAACAATAGTAAATACAGTGATATTATGTATTGTGTTTTTTTTTTTATCATAACCATTTTAAAACATGTAACTTGCTGTTTATTTATTAATGTCTAAAATCAATAATGGGTATGTTATAACCAAATAATTTTGGATTTAATGTTATTTACTGTGTATACTTGCTAACCTATCAAAAGATATTAAAACAAAGTGTTGAAATTTCGCCTGTCCGTTTGTCTTTTGTACTTTTAAGAGACTACTGCTTTGGAAATTATTACTTATAATAATAAATGCAGAGGCATTTTACTTTGTGATTTATCGTATGAGTGCAAATCAGTTGTAGATGTAGAGGTAGTTAAAGAGCAAAAAATTTCTGGACCTTGACGTGTTGAGAGTTAAAGCACAACCTAAACCGCTTCGCGGTATGAGGTGTGCGATACTTGCAAAAAAAAAAGAAATTGTGTACTTTACAAAAAGATATGATATCCGAACAAAAACAGTTTCACTGTAAAGCATCGCGCCAAGTACACTTTCAACTATAGTTACAAAAATAATAATTACATTTTTACAAAAAATTATAAAATAAAAAGAAACCAAGTACATACCCGTTTTAGATTCGAAAAAAAATTTTGCTGAAAAAAGTAATAATAAAAAAATGATGTACTTGGTGTGCATTATAGGTACTTTATAGTACGAGCATCACTCAAAAAAGTAATAAAAAAACGACTTCCAATGTCAAGTTGGGTGATCGATACTCTTAATCATGCACACCAAGGTCACCATTTTTTTATTATTACTTTTTTCAGCAAAATTTTTTTTCGAATCTAAAACGGGTATGTACTTGGTTTCTTTTTATTTTATAATTTTTTGTAAAAATGTAATTATTATTTTTGTAACTATAGTTGAAAGTGTACTTGGCGCGATGCTTTACAGTGAAACTGTTTTTGTTCGGATACTCAAAAGCGAGCGCTACAGCTCCACGCTTTCCACTAAACCATTCCAAGTTTGTCGACTACGTAATGCTCGGAGTAAACTGTAACACTTATCATCACATTAGATCACAAAAATACTACTTAGTGTTTTTAAGTCATAGCACGTTAAAGTAATCATGTTCTTTTTTTTCGATACATCGTTTAAATATTTTGAACTTTAAAACTAGGCCATGTAAATCACACCTCGTGTATCAAATTATAACATTACTTGAGCAAGTTAAACTTCCACTGAATGCAAACTATAACTCATTCAGATTATCTCCAACATTTCTTTCGACATTTGTTATCATATTTGGGTACGTTAAGAAATAATGAAATTACTTGCGGGTACTTTCTATTTTAAATTGAATAAAAAGATTTAACTTTTGACTTAAAACATTTCACTTTAAACTTTTACTCTACACTTTAATGATTCGTCAATGTCGTAAATACGACAACAAACTTAATTTAAGAAATTGAACACAAAAACAAAATGAGAAGCGCATTATAGTATTTCACCAACGTAATAACCCTTACACTATTCAAAGGTTATAGCAGGTGGGCAGTAACAGGGACTTTATCCCACTTCTGATGTAGGAAGTATAGTGGGTATAGTACAGAGACTAATTTTGTAGTTAGGAATAATAATTAATTCGTTTACACGAATTAATTATCCAATGAGTCGAGGATAAACTAGTAACGGAATACGACAAGTGTACCGTTCCACGTCAGAGCCAAGACTGTCTTAACGACGGCCGCCCCGTCCGTTTTATACAAGCAGGACGGGTGGCAACGCAGGTGCAATGCCACAGGTGTGCGGTACACGTGTCGTTTACAAGAATTCTGTCTAGCCAGACCGACGCCAGCGCACCTACAACGGTGCAGGTGCCGTCACGGCCATACTGATATGCGTGCGTCCTCGCACGCGCTCCATCACAATTTTAGTTGTCTGTAGACAAAAAAACATCGTTCGACTATCCTGACATAACAGCGTCTGGTCCGGTCTATATTGACCCTTCAGACTTGGGTGACAGTCTGTTTTGTACCGGCAGTAAGCTCTACAAAACTTTAATCATCTTTATGTTTGATCGGAATGATTAGTCTGTAGCTTTTTCTATTTTCTCTTTTTTTTTTTCAAGTACTGTTTTTGCTAGTCCGGAATCACTATTCCCTATAGCTATATCACTGGACCGGCACAAAGCCCTGCAATGATTGTAAGAACTATTCTTTTTTCTTAATCTCTTTTTTTTTCAGTACTATTTATGCTAGTCCGGAATCACTATTCCCTGTAGCTATATCATTGGACCGGCAAACGCCCTGCAATGATAGTAAGAACCACATTTTTTTTTCTTACTCTCTTTTTTTTTTCAATTCAGTATAGAACAATTACAGACCAACCATACCGCAAATATGTCCCCGTTACAATCACACAAAAGTGTATCGTGAGGGGCGTAGTGACACGATAACACCTAAGTATGTAAACCAACAGCAACTCGACACATATCCCAGTGCAGCACCGACCAGCCTCCTTGCAACTTCATGTTCCTTTCCTGCACTAGAATAATTACTTCGCTAGAGTATTGCAACGTCTCTAGTATTTTCTAGATGCACAGACACTGCTACCTCTTGATTGTTGCACGTCCTCGTGCGGTTGACAGTGAACAGCATACGGTCTATCAGTTATCACCACCTGCTAACAGATATTAACTCTTGTTAAATATTACAACGGTCGAACATCCCAGACTTCATTTAAGTCTGGAACGCGCCGATATGGCTACCTCCAGACAAATGCACTACAGCTTTTCGTTCTGCTGCATTCGTGCCACATTCGTGCCAGCAAGCAGTCGCGCCGTACTAGCGCTAGCGAATCGTAACACTGCTTTGCAAAATTAAAAGAAATCGAGATAAGTGTATTGCGAACCATGGAATTCCGAGCTTCCAAAATTCATCACATATTCTCTTAAGAAACGGCAACTGTATGACATTTGAAAACATTGCAAAAAACGGAAACTATGTGTAGAGACGGATACCATCACATATTTCAAAGGGAAGGAGGCAACTGCGCAAAATCTACGAAAGCCGACCAAGCCTCAGACGTTCATTTACAGCACCAAAGGACCATGTGTTCGGCGGCCGCTTGAATTGTCTTGCCGTAAGATCTGCCGATAAGTTACAGACTGTAGCGGTGTAGGCTCAATCTTACTAGCGCTCGGCCGTACCTGACCATGTTCGATTAGCCGTCACAACATCTTCCTCATTGATCATTGTTGTAGAGACTTCTACGAATCTCTCGACATCAAACCCCAATCTTGTCGACCATACAGTACTCGGAGCAAACTGCAACACTGATCAACACATTAGAACACAAAAATGTCACTTATTATTTTTAATTCATAGCGTGTTAAAGTTAATCCTTTATTGTAGTACAACCCTTAAAAGTTTTGAACTTCAAAATATAGCAAATGATAATCATGTTTCGCGTGAACTATCAAATTACAACAAAACGAGAGCAGCAGGAGCACCTGAGGGTTTACAAGCATCGTCGGGGTTGTAGTCATCATGATCTGCGTGAAAAAAAAAATTGTTAACTATAAGGAAAACATACACAGTTGCCTGTTCTCTCATCTATCACACATACGAGGCCCTAAAACAGAAATTCGTTCTCATACCTTGGACTATAATAAAGCACTTCGCTTTCACAAGTAAACATAGGTCTTCATACGAAGTATCTGACACATACTCTTACTTGAACTTGCGAGATCCCACGTTAACTACGTGAACCACATTAAAGGACAGCGCCTGCCAGGACAGAGCCTAATACATGTTCAGAAAACATTACCGTGCACACAGCATACGACTTCCGCGCACACAGTGTGACTCCCACGCATACAGAGTACACGACTTCCGAGGCATCGCCATGTACATCATACGCGCGCTCCGGGATGGCGCCTGCGTATACGCGCATACGCATCTGCCGAAACCAGGCCATGTTACAGCTGGACCTGGCAGTACGTTACGACCAGCAAGGCACACACTCACGCACTTGTAATCACATCACACGTGCTACTGTAACACATAAAAGAAAACATTAAAAATACTCAGTCGGAACTTGATTTTCAAGAAATGCAGCACTATTCTTGGTACACCATTCGCCTTTCTAGGGCACCAAATACTGAGCTGCGGCTACACGACAACTTCTGGTATGGTCCGATCCTCATGTAAACTTAAATACTCTCTTCAATGTCAGAACTAATTGGCTCTACTTCACTTTCATCAGTTATACTTCGGTTTTCCGGCATTTTTCGCAACCAATTAAAAATGTAAACACTCATTCTTACAAAATAGTTTCTGAGCCAATGTTTAGGATAAATTTACTTTCCTCATGTATCTAATGGTGATCAGTAGCAGCGACAAATAATAAGTCCGCGGCGTCATAAGCCGACAGCATACTCAAAAGCGAGCGCTACAGCTCCACGCTTTCCACTAAACCATTCCAAGTCTGTCGACTACGTAATGCTCGGAGTAAACTCTAACACTTATCATCACATTAGATCACAAAAATACTACTTAGTGTTTTTAAGTCATAGCACGTTAAAGTAGTCATGTTCTTTTTTTCGGTACATCGTTTAAACATTTTGAACTTTAAAACTAGGCCATGTAAATCACACCTCGTGTATCAAATTATAACATTACTTGAGCAAGTTAAACTTCCACTGAATGCAAACTATAACTCATTCAGAATATCTCCAACATTTCTTTCATTTGCTAACATATTTAGGTACGTCAGAAATAATGAAAATACTTGAGGGTTCTTTTAATACAAATCGAACAAAAGGATTTCCCTTTTGCCTTAAATAATTTCACTTTATCTTTTCTCTACACTTTAATGATACGACAATATCGTAAGTAGGACAGCAAATTTTATTACGGTATTTAACATAAAAAGAGATCCATCAATGCGAAATGCATTATAGCCTTTACAAATGTAATAATTCTCATACTATTCAAAGATTGTATGTGGGCAAAAATGGGGACTTTATCCCACTTCTGATGTAGGAAGTATAGTGGGTGTTAAGTATGCGGACAGGGAGCGAGTTAAACGGCCGGTAGCTTGCTATGCACTGGTTTATTAACAGAGGGTGCGTGGGCACAGCCACGCATTGTAATAGATAGATATACAAATGTATATACATACATAACAATTCCCCACCCTATTTTAGAATACAAGAATAAAATAAATTATAATAAAGAAGACAACTATAACCTAAAAGAAACGCTTATAATCAACCTTGGGACGGGGGCGCAGTCTATTTCTAGTGGCTTCGATTCGACCACCATTAAAATCTGCTTCTGCTTCGTGGAACTCGTCGTCCTCCTCCAACCGAGGCGGCACAGGGTTCTCTGCTTCATCACTTTCCCCTCGACGTGGCGAACCTTCTCGCTCTGCCGTGGTAACTAGGCTGGGATCTATGGTAGACGCCGGATGAAGTGGTGACGATGATGATGATGATGGTGATGGTGATGCCGGCAGTGATGGCGGTGGTGTAAAAGTGTTTCCGGTGTCGCAAGTGTTCCCTTTCTCGTAAGCGTCCACGTCCCATGCGTTATAGTCATTACTTTGAGCTTTATATAAAATTAATTGATTTTTATGTTTTCGATAACATATTTGCGTGTCCCAATCTTTTACTAAGTAGATAACTTTGCCAATTCTTTTTGTTATCGTTCCCTTACACCAGGTAAACTTGTTATTTACATATTTTTTATATAAAACGAAAGTTCCAGGTAGCATTTGCTTAATACGTACTGGTTCTTCCTTCTGTGGACATTTTTGCGCATTTATCAAATCGGATGAAGCCGCAGACGCAGACAGCGATGACGTAGGTACCAATCTGTCTAAGCGCGAGTTTAGCTTTTGCCCGAAAATCAACTCGGCGGGTGACATGCCGGTGGTCGAGTGCTTTGAATTCCGGTAATCAAACAAAAACTTTAATAAATTATTTTTTGATTGTTTTGTGTTGCTGCTAGACATAATACTTGATTTTATACCCTTTTTGACTATTTTTACATAACTTTCGGCTTGACCGTTACTTGCCGGGTGATACGGTGGCGACGTAACGTGTGATATCCCGTTTACTTCACAGAAACGTTTAAATTCTTGTGAAGTAAACGCCGTTCCATTGTCGCTTACAATCGTTTGCGGTATGCCGAACCTAGACATGAATTCGTACATCTTTTCAATGACTGTATCGGAGGAAGTAGAACTAGCTGTATCGTATATCTCCGGCCATTTAGAGTACGAATCAATGACCACTAAATACATTCGACCGGCTATGGGACCCAGGAAATCCATATGTACGCGGGTGAAAGGGTGGTGTGTCCGAGGCCAGGGGGCCGGCGGCACGCGCGGTGGAGATGGCCGCAGGTTGATGCATACCTCACATGTCCCTATCATATGCTCCACGGCCTCATCTACGCCCGGAAACCAAAATCTGGATCGAACTTCGGCCTTGGTTTTTACGATACCCAGATGTGTTTTGTGTAACTCGGCTAACACCCTTTTACGCAACGTCTCGGGAATCACGATCTTATGACCTCTCATTAAGCATCCATTTTCAACCGAGAATTGCGTTCTACATGAAAAATAAGGCTTAAGGTACAAATCACTTATTTTCTTAGGCCAACCGTGTTTAACATATTCGGTTACTTTAGATAAAATTTTGTCCCTTTTTGTTTCATCCCGTAGTTCCGAAACCGTAATCGGTAAACTCGTGTCGACCACAAAACACACGTAAGCCGCGCGGTCGCTCGAAGTGAAGTCGTCCGCAGTGCACGTATCGAGTGCGCCTGCACCCGTGTCGGGCGCGCGCCTCGCCTCCGAAATACTTGAGCGAGACAAATAGTCGGCGCTGTTACCAGCGCTTCGTATATACTCGATCGTATAGTTATACGCGCTTAAAAACATTGCGTACCTCTGCAGTCGATTCGCCGATACTTCCGGAATGCCTTTGTACGGTCCGAATATCGAAATTAGTGGCTTATGATCTGTTCTTAATACAAACGGATTTGTTCTACCGTACAAATGCTGATGGAAGCGCCGAATTCCAAATATAATTGCGGTCGCTTCTTTCTGTATTAATATTGTTTTTCTGCGATATTTAGAGTTCGCGATGCAAACGAAATCGGTCTTTCTTGGCCGTCGGAACGTACTTGCGACAGTATCGCACCCAAGCCAACCGGAGACGCGTCTACAGTCAGGATTAGCCTTGCTTCGGGGTTGAAGTGGGCGAGTACCTGGTCTGAAGCTAATAACAGTTTTATTTTTGTGAATGCCTCATGATGATCTAGACCCCACGACCATTTTACCCCCTTTTTTAGCAGATTATAAAGTGGGCTTAAAACAGACGCTGCACTTGGTACCAAAGTTTCGATAATAATTTACTAGGCCCAAAAACGATTGCAGTTGGCTTATATTTGATGGTGCAGGGGAGTCTACTATTGCTTTAATTTTATCTGGAGACTTTTTCAACCCATTTTTATTGATAACATAACCCAAGTAGTTAACCTCATCTTTATAGAACTCGCACTTCTCCCTTTGCAAGGTCAATCCTGCTTCTTGTAAGGTCTGCAACACCGCCCGGAGGCGTGCAGCGTGCTCGGCGTCGTCACGCCCCGTAATGAGCACGTCATCCAACAAACACAGCACGCCCTCCTGTCCACCAATTAGGCCCTCCATCGCACGCTGAAAAATTGCTGGCGCTGGAGCAAGCCCAAAGACTAGCCTAGTATACTTGTATAATCCACGATGAGTATTAATTACAGTGTACCTTTGTGACTCGTCATTCAGCTCAAATTGGTTATAAGCCATAGATAAGTCTAATTTGGTGAATTTTTTTCCACCATAAAGCTTTGCAAACAATTCCTTGGCAGTTGGCAGAGGATACTGGTCGATAATTAATTGCCTATTAATACTAACCGAGTAATCGGCACACAAGCGAATAGTGCCATTTCTTTTTAAAACAGGGACTATAGGGGACGCATAGTCTGCGTGGTCAACCGGTTTTAATACCCCTAACTCAACCATTCTATCTAGTTCATTATTTAATTTATTCCGTAGGGCAAATGCAATCGGTCTCGCTTTAAAGAAAACTGGTTTTGCATTATCTTTTAACTGTAAGTGCACCTTATGTTTAGTAAAACGACCTAATTTATCCGAAAAAAGAACTGGAAATTGACATTGCAGTTCTTCCACGGAGGGAAGGGTACCCTGACAGTAATTCACCGTTGATAAAACTGACGATAACTCTAATTGGAATGTAGATATAAAGTCCCTACCGAGGAGCGGCGGCCCGCCGTCCCGGACGACGTACACGTCGAGCGTGTGTGAGCGGTTAGTATAGTACACGGGTAACCGGATTGTGCCTACACATGTTATGCTATCACCCGTGTAGCTCATCAACCTTTTATGCGGAACAATCAATGGAATATCTTTAAAATGAGATTTGTATAATTTTTCCGGTATCACCGTTACGGCGGAACCGCTATCTATTTCAAACTTAAACGCCATTCCCCGAATAAACACGGTCTCGACCATCGGTTCACCCCGCAACGAACGAATTTTAAATACCTTACCATCATCATCGCTGTTTTCGTCTCCGGCTCCATTATCTACGTAGTTAACTTTATTTGACGTACACATTCTACGTAGATGGCCTACGACGTTACACTTCCTACATACGAAATCCGCGTACCGGCACTCCGAAGCCTTGTGGTTCGTATAGCCACACACTTTACACTTTTGTTTTACCGGAAGATCACTTTTTACACTTCTTGCACCTTTACCTCTTGATCTAATCTTGTACAACGCGCTGGTAGAAGCTGCGGACGCGTCGGCTGTACTGGCACTGGCGATTGCAGCTGATTTCGCACAACGGACGTTTTCAGCAAATTCTACAGCTTTCGTGAGAGTTAGATTTGTAATATCTTGGGCGTAAAGTTTCTCTTTCTCAAGACTAGGCATCATTCCCATAATAAACCGGTCTCGTAGGGCCTCTTCGATATCATGGAAAGCGCAGCGTGACGTAAGACCGCGCAGTCTCGCGGCCCACTGTGAATGTGTTTCACCGGGTTGCTGCGATGCTGCATAGAAGTTGTGTCGTTCCGTGAAACCGACAATCTTCGGGTTAAAATGGATGGCGAAGAATCGTAGGATGTCTTCGTAGGGCACCTCCTGCACATCCTTCGGTAAGGCTAAATTCTCAGCGAGCCTATAGGTACCCTCCGAGAGTGCACTTAGCAAAATTGCTCTTCTCTTTTTCCCGCTCGGATCCGTCGTGTTATTAATTTCATTTGCCAAGAACCACTGATTTATTCGGCTTTTATAAGTTTTCCACTCCTGTATATCGTGGTTAAAACTGGATAATATTCCAAAATATGAATTAGCCATTTTTAATTACTTTTTGCGCGGGTACTCGTCGCCAATGTTAAGTATGCGGACAGGGAGCGAGTTAAACGGCCGGCAGCTTGCTATGCACTGGTTTATTAACAGAGGGTGCGTGGGCACAGCCACGCATTGTAATAGATAGATATACAAATGTATATACATACATAACAGTGGGTATAGTACAGAGACTGATTTTGTAGTTAGGAATAATCCAACGAGTCGAGGATAAACTAGTAACGGAATACGACAAGCGCACCGTTCCACGTCAGAGCCAAGACTGTCTTAACGGCGGCCGCTCCGTCCGTTTTATACAAGCAGTACGGGTGGCAACGCAAGTGCAATGCCGCAGGTGTGCGGTACACGTGTCGTTTACAAGAATTCTGTCTAGCTAGACAGACGCCACCGCACCTACAACGGTGCAGGTGCCGTCATATACCCTATTCTCTAGTCTTCCGCGTCTTCGATATTTATATGTATACAACGAATTTTTTTTACGTTTTTAAAAATATTATCTCGAATGAGTGAATAGAGTAAAATATCCAGACCGGCAACAGGAGCAGCGTCAAGAATACGAGACGTACTCATCCTCCGAGAGAGCTTTTATTAAATTCTCTCTCGCTTTTATTGACGGAAATTACTACGCTATAACATTTTGTTCTCATAAATTCCAGTTGTTTTTACTCCAATTCTGATACTAAGTAATTTATCCCTAGGTAATAAATAACAAAAAAATCTATGCACATTCCCCGTCGCCATTGTAACCTTTTATGAGAATTACAATTTGATTGTATGATTTTTTTGATGAAATTTTTTTAAATAACTATTTAGACGACATTGAAATTGTGATATTCTTTAAGCCACTCAAAAAGGTGGAAAAATAACAAACATTTGTTATAAAAATATATTTATATATTGTATAACCCGTGTAGTGGCAGTGTAAGAATATTCACTATCCATTATCATCCCGTGGGTGTCGTAAGAGACGACAGAGGGAAACAAACCAGGAGATAGGTGGCAGCTCTTCCTAATAATAAAAAAACAATAAACTGCGGTTGTCAACCCGCTTGCCGAGCGTGGCAACTACACCAACTATCCGCCCTGTGTATTTTTCATCCGTATCCTGCTGTTGACTCATACGGTACGAAATGGGACTGTACAAAGTCAACCGACACACGGCGTGCATTACAATATATTTAGTAAATAGGTAATTAGCTACCTACTTCCAAACAACAAAACATCTGCCTGATATCTTATTATATCAATTTTATAAATCAATTAAGTTAAACCTTGTTAGAGCGAGTGCATCTGTGAAAGACAATGGGTGTAGAATTCTGCGCTTATATTCGCCACTCGTCGCCGAAGCTCTTAATATCTGATAATATAATAACTTTTAATGTATTTATTCTTTAAATTATTGAGCAAACACGCAATAAGTATATGTATGTGATAGATAACGGTATGCTGTGTCGTGTACACTAGTCGCAAAATATCCAGTCTAGCGGCCGACAGCACTGTGAGGCGTCTGCTCTGCCGTGTGCTCTGTACTGCGATCGTTCATCTACCTGCCAAGCGTGGCAATTAAAACAAATGGACTTGACTTCTACGGGCTGAAGTAGAAGGAGAAGATTTATGAATTTAGATACAGAAAATAATAAGCCTCTCATAGATCACCTCATACCACAATTAGACGCGGTGGGTGGCGCAGTTGTCGAGATCCAGAAATCACCCGTGTGAAACCGGGGCGGATCGCTAGTAATGTGTAAATATAAATGGCATCAAAAACATAACTTGTAGAAAAACCAAGTCTCGCAACTCAGTTCTTCTACCGTAAAAAGTTGTGAGATCCAGTAATACCAAGTCGGTTAATTTATTCAGTCCCTACTTAAGGGTCCTTCTGTCTTAAGTTATTACGTAATTAGCTAACCTAATAATATCTTATAGTGACCACAACTATACTAAACATCTTTTATATTTTAAATAAATAGATTGACTTGGCCTTCGCATGAAAACACAATGTATCTCTCAAGTAATACACATTATATTAAATTAGATTGTTTAGTGCTTTTTTTCATTTAGCTATTTTATATTATTATTAGATATATATATATATATATATTATTATTAGATATTTAGCTTTGGTAACGAGTGGCGAACGTTAGCGGATAATTGTACACCAATTATCTCTTACAGCTGCGTTAACTCCAGCTAGGATTAGCTCAATGGATTTATAAAATAGATATAATACCAAAATATCCTATATTTTCTTATTTAGTAGTAAGTAAAAGAGTATGGAAGAATTAAGGGCCTGAATTAAAAATGTGCAATTACTTCTTTCTTTATAGTTCTTTGAAGTAGGCTATTACGTTTTATGAAAAGTTAATTTGTTCGCCACTGAAATGTAGCCTCCTTTTTAGAAGTCGGCTGAAAACAGTAATAATTGCGACGGGGATCGTGCATAGGTTTTTGTGATGTTTTTAATCTAGAACTTAATTACCTAGTATCAGACTTGGAGTAAATATACAATTAGAATTCATGAGAAAATAATATGGTAGCAAAGTAATTTCTGTCAATAAAAGCGAGAGAGTGTTTTAATAAAAGCTCTCTTGGAGCATGAGTAGGTCCTGCTCCCTTGATATGGTTGCCGGTCTGGATAATTAATTCTTCCTACTCACTTCAGATAATATTATTTAGAACCGTAAAATTATTGCATTGTATTCATGTTAATATCGAAGACACAAAAGACTAGAGAATAGTACATAAATAGATTTACCTTGCTTACAAACGAACTAAACATACAAATTAAAAATTAAAACTAAATTAAAAAAAAACGTGATTGAACCTTTCAGTCGCTGGCATTGAACAACCACTTTAACGATATAAAAATGCGTAAAAGAGAAAGCGACCATTTTCACAAAACCGTTGCTTCTAATAATGACTTAACCTCAGGATCTAGGAATCACTAAAAAGTGATGAGGTGCGACTAGTAGTACGATACCGGAAAAAGACCAGAAACCCGCATACTAACCACATGATCCTTCAGGTCTCCCCATCGCTTTGGCAGCGTCTGGTGGAGGTGGGGCGAGTGCACGTTGACTTACAGTGCGTGGTAGTGGCTGACCAGTCACCATTAGTGCAAATGCTCTAGGTCTCTTGCATATGGGCACGGAAAAAGACACTGCAAGGAGGCGGATGACCTATAAAAACAAAAACATGATTTTTCTATTAAAATGTTCTTATTAATATTAATCATATAAGTTTTTAAGCTACAGTTTATTCAGGTGGGCGAATTTATC